GGCCACAGAGGACTCGGACCCATAGAATGGACCATGGAGGACCCAGACCCATAGCATCAACTGACATCTGTGGGGCCATGGAGAACTCGGACCCATATGAATGGACCATGGAGGACCCAGACCCATAGCATCAACTGACATCTGTGGGGCCACGGAGGACTCGGACCCATAGGATGGACCACGGAGGACTCGGCCCCATAGCATCGACCCGCTCTGAGTCATGGTGTCATCTCCAACATCTATGGGGCCACGAAGAACTCTGCCCCATAGTTTGATGTTTGTGGCCTCCATGGGTCTGTGGTCTCTGTGGGGCCAAAGGTGGGACGAGACCAAGATCTCCGTGGGTCTACGGTCTGCAGAGGTCCAGGGCCTCTATGGGTCCAGGTCATCTCCTCCATCTCTGTGGGTCGATGGCCTTCACCTCGGCTTCCGTGGGGCCAAGGTAGCCATGGGGCGGTGGCCTCCGGGGGTCGGTGGCCTCCGTGGACCTGGGGTCCGTCTTGGTTGGTGGCCTCCGTGGGTCAAGATGGTCGGTTGATGTTCTCTGTGGGTTGTGATGGCCTCCGTGGGGCGGTGGCCTCCGTGGGGTGATGGCCTCCATGGGGTGAAGACCTCCATAGACCGACGTCCTCCATGGACCCGTGGCCTCCATGGGGTGGTGGCCTCCATGGGGCGGTGGTCTCCATGGGGCGGTGGCCTCTATGGACTGATGTTCTCCGTGGGGTGGAGACCTCCATTGACTGACGTCCTCCGTGGCCCCACATCCTCCGTGGGGCGGTGGCCTCCGTGGGGCGATGTCCTCCGTGGGGCAGTGGCCTCCGTGGGGCGGCAGCCTCCATGGGGTGATGTCCTCCGTGGGGTGATGTCCTCCATGAACCAATGTCCTCCGTGGGGTGGTGGCCTCCATGGGGTGATGTCCTCCGTGGGGTGATGTCCTCCATGAACCAATGTCCTCCGTGGGGTGGTGGCCTCCATGGACTGACGTTCTCCGTGGGGTGGAGACCTCCATTGACTGATGTCCTCCGTGGCCCCACATCCTCCGTGGGGCGGTGGCCTCCGTGGGGTGATGTCCTCCGTGGGGTGATGTCCTCCATGGACCGACGTTCTCCGTGGGGTGAAGACCTCCATAGACCGACG